CGCCCTTCATGCTTCAGCCACCTACCAGACAACATGCTTGCATGTCGAGGACACTAATTAAAAATGTTAATCAAAATTTGTGACTAAACTCCTTGGGGAGAATAGTATGTCTCTTGCCATTTTACCTGCATTCTAACATATTTCATGTTACAATAGTCTTTCATGATGACCCAGCATTGCAAGTATTTGGTTTAAGAACACACAGCAAATTTGACAAAATGCAAAGAAAGAGTCAATGTGGTGTTTCTAAAGATACAGTACTCAACCCAAAGTTTAAAGAATGCATCTGTCATACAAAATCTGAGAGTTATGAGGTGTGAAGCGTGTATTTCAGAAATCTTAGAAGAGCAACTCTCCAGTGAGGAGACCACAGAATCGGAGCCACCAAAAAGTCACCCTTCTACTGATGGCATCTGACAGATGATTAAAATGAACATGCATCAGACCACACACTTTGGATAGATATCAAGCAGAACCTTTCATCAGCATAAACTGTTCTCTGCTGTGTTCCCTCTAAGCTGCTGCAGCTCAGCTTCACAGGTGATTAATCAACCCTGCCCTGTCAGTCAGCTCCAGGCAGGGAGCCCTGAGCCTCTGACTGGGCAGGGCTGATCAATCACTTAGGAAGACATGCTGCCCCACAGCTTCCATGAAACACTGGTCATCTGGAATGGTGGATGAAGCATGAACGGGCAGGTGACTCTTAGTGCATCTACCGTGTAAATATCTTGCGATGCCAACTATAACAGTGCTATGAATGCTTGTTCTGTCAAGTGATATTGTAAACAAGAAGCAGGCAGCATTATCTCCCGCAAATTTGTTTGTCTAAGTCAGGGCTACTCAACTTTGGAAACCCTGGAGGCCACAATGATACTCACAGCACATGCCGAGGGCCACAATTTAAATGTGGCTGCATATACATGCAAATATATATGCAAATTGCTTCTTTCACACTGACAGTCATGAATACAAAAATTAAGACAAGAGTACACAACACGCAGGTCCTATTTAAGTCAGTTCTATTGATATTAATAAAATGCAATATTTACCCGATTTCCATCTATATGACAGCACTTTCATGAGCAATAGCAGTCTAGAAATTTAATTTCTAAAACTCATATCAACAGAAGACCATTATATTGACTACTTTTTTGGTTTTGGCTTCACAACATTCCAGGAATTTAACTACTAACACACAACCCAAAACCACACCGTAAACCCATATCACACTGCGGGCCACAATCAAACAGGCCATGTGTTGAGTTGCCCTGGTCTAAGAGATAAGCAATTGGCTAAAGTAGAACTGAGTGAACCTGTAAGCTCTAAAGTTTTATCTTGTTTTATTTTTGAATGCAGGGTTTTTCTGTACCCAATTCTACATTCAAGAATACAATACAGAACTCATGGTCACACACTTTGTATTTGATGCTGTAACTGAAATCAGTATATTTGAAAGTGTAGAAAACATTCAAAAATATTTAATAAATTTCAATTTGTATTCTACTGTGTAACACTACAATCATGATTCATTTTTAATCACCTGATAATTCTAACAATCATTGGTGACTTGATCACACATCTGTGGCTGAATCAAGTGATTCATAACCATTTCATAGTCCACTGCTGTTTTCCTCTTTTGTATTTCAATATTAGAGATGTTGAGTTACCATTTCTGTCCTAGAAGACTGGACAAGAAGTAAAGAGGACAAGACAAAAGGAATTTCATATTTTTATGAATCCAATACCAATTCCTGGGATATCTGAAACTGTAATCTATTCCTTCAGCTTCTACCATGGATGAACTGGTTTGTTTCAGGATTATATATGGGTGTTTATTTTAGGAGAACAGGTAGGAAGATTTAGATGGCCTTTAAAAATATAAAGTAAATGTATTTATTATAAAGAGAAAGTTACATGCATTGAAGTTCTCATATGAACCTCCACTTCCAAGTGGAATTATAGATTTGACTCCCACCTATTAGATAGGCATCAAATCTAGAAGATTAATTTTTAGAGTTTAGTATTTATTGGCAAAGGTGGAAAGTAGAGAAAAGGGGGTTCAACATAAAATGTACAAGAGGAACACAAATAGCCATCTAAGACTTTGGAATACAGAGGACTAGAGTTATGCTCTACCCCTGTCTTTCTGTATGATTTCACTACTGGACAAAGGAGAGCAAAAATTCTGACAAGGCTAAAAAAGGATAGTGGAAAGGATGACTTGCTTCACAAAAGTGAGACATAATATAGCATTTCAGAGGACAGTGAGGTACTTATGGAATGAATGATGACATTAGATGTTACCCCAAAAATTCCCATTGGAGACCACCCATGGTTACATTAGCATGGATTTACTGATTGAGGAATTAACACTCCACTATATGCACTATACTGTATGGTTAAACTAAAGAGGATAGAGCTGCCACTAAAGATTGAAACTAAAGAGGAACCATCTCACACTCACACAGGCAGATGGGTTACAGAAGGTGCCAAGACATCTTGCACCTGGAGGGTCTGTCTGTTGATCATGGTTGGGGAGCTGGTCAGAAAAGAAAGAATTTCTGGCTGCAGAAAGAGGAGCTTCCCTGAAAGAAGGGAATTCTGCCATGTACAGAGGCAATAAAAGGAGAGTGCACAACACCTGTGACTCATCCAGATTCGTCACCAGGGAGCATGCCCAGATTTCCCTTAATCCAGCAGAGCAGCAGTGTCTCCTTAGTTGGTCTGATGACTCACTTGGCTACAGGTGCTCAGCCTTGCAGTTTCTATTCCCAAACACACAATAGCAGTGTTTCTTAAACTTTTTAAGACCAAGGAACACCAAACAATAATTTATTTATTTATTTAAAATGAGGAACGCCAAGGATTTTTTGTTGATGAAAAAAAAAAGGCTGGGAGGAAAATGGGTCAGGGGAAAAGTTATTTAAAGAGGGGGTGCTTGCCCCTTTAAGGACAGCCATTTTGAACTCTGTTTTGAACACAGTTTAAGAAACACTGCACAATAGTCTCCACTCACACTCAGATCTCAGGGGAGAATGCAGTTTAGAAAAAAGTTACACGCAAAGTGGTTGAGAGTTACAAAGTTGCAAGGCTCAAAAGTCACCAAGCTTAAAGTAAAGTAATTTTCTGAATTTATAAAGCAAAGTTGCTAAGAATTACAAAGTTGCAAGGTTTTAAAAAGATTACAATGAGTTTCAGAGTTTAAAGAGCAAAGCGGATGAAACAATTACAAAGCTTCAGAGAATCATTTCCAAATCATCAGTAATGAAGTGATTTAGAAGACTGCTGCCCCCTCCCCCAGCAATGCAGTCAGCAGGAGGTTTTTGTCAGTCTCCAGGTCATGTTGGCAGGACCTTACATGAAATGAAGAAAAGGTGGGCAGTTTACACGCAAAGTTTGATAAAAGCCAAGAATATACAATAAATAAAAATATGATACTTGCAAGTTTTAGTATAGCCCTGTAGCAAAATGCTGTAGAATGGGGAAGGAAAGAGGCCAAGGATGAAGGCAGGGTGGAAGTGAGAGAAGCAGTAAAGACGAGAGGAGGGGTATGTGGGATGGATGAGGGAGGCAGATGGCTGCTGGTGCATGAGGATGTGCAGTGTCTAGACGTAATAGGAGCGCAGCAGTGTATGGCAGTGAATAGGGCCGTATTGGGGTGGCAAATCTGACAGGTGGAGAGTATGAGTAGGAGTGTTTTGTAAGGGGTACAGGACTGGGATGAGTAAGTATGGAAGGCAGGGTGGGATGCAATGATGGGATAGGCATGCAGCCCCATTCCCAGCACACGGAGATGGGCTGGTAATGGGGAGACAGACCATGGTTTGCAGTAGGCACACACCACAGATCAAGCCCAGCCACACAAGTTGTGTGTGAAAAGAAAGTACAGGGCAGCAGAGAAGCATGTGCCATGAGACTCCTCAACAGCCATCTACTGAGTGCTCCTGAGTAGCACTAGCTCCTTCCCGGTCTCGAATCAGCCAATAGGAGCTGTGCCTGTGCGTGGGGGGCAGAGCACCACAGGAGGTGAACATGCTGCCTGTTTGACCTGGAAGTCACATGGCAGAGCTCAGTGGCTAGCAAGGACCCTACCAGACCTGCTATGCAGCACCTCTAACTGAACAACCAACCACCCCGTCAGCAGTGCTGACTGGAGCCAGCAGGATACCTATATGACCAGGTGTTCCAGTCCAAAACCAGACACCTGGTCACCCTGATACTTACCAACTCACAAGCAGTTTTTCTTCTTTCAGAAAGATTTTTTCATGGGTTCCCCTCACATACACCTAAAAATTCAGTCTTCTCACATTTGTAAGGAACTGGATTTCCAACAGTAACATGGACTGTACCAAAACGACGATGTATTGGCAGAGGGCTAGGGACACGAGGGTGTAAGAGTCAAGGGTGCAAGGAGGGGCCTATGAGGGGAGCAGAGCTGTGCCCCCCCCCCACCCCCAAGATTTGTACCAAGACTGCTTGTCCTTCCCCTTCCTGTCACTATCAGGAAACAAGATCAATCTCCCCCGCCTCATGCTCTTCAGGCAGAATGAGGAATGCAGCAGACAGACTGTGAGGGGAGAGTGCTCTAACAAAAAGGATCAGCCAGCAATGTACTCATACAAATCTAGATGGGGGAGGGGGTGCGGAGAGAAGCTTCAGCCCTGCCTTTCCCCTCCCCCCCCAAGCACACACACCCTTCCCCAAGGAGGGGAAGAATCAGGACTGGAGCAGTCCCAGTCAGGGAGGGGAGAAGGTATACCCCCCCAGCCAGCCACTTTCAACTGCTTGGTTATTCGGTCTCTTTTCTGTATGATTTTATGGGAAGCAGTCCCATTCTAGACACATCCCATTTTCCTGGCACAACCAAACCCTGACCTTATTTTAACATTATGACAAGAGGAAGCTGTATACCTGAGCTCTTATCCATGTAGGAGAAGTTCTTGGACAGACAGACAAACTCTACACAAACACAGTATTCACATGCAGACACGAATCCTTACCAATTTGGATTTTCCAAGCTTTCCCTGAAGACAGATTCTTCACTTAGAGATGCATATTGTGTCCAGGTAAGGCAATGAGACTTCATAACCATATTTCTTTCTTGCATATTAAGCCAAGATTCTTCCTCTAAGTAGATGTCAGACACTTTTAAAACACTAACCTGTCAAGAATAAGGATTGTTACTTTCAAAATTCAGTATTTTGAGACCATTTTCATATAGTTAGGATAAAAATAAATACTAAAATTGAGGATTAATAGTTGAGAATGAAGGCACATCAGCTGCAGACAGTCCATGATACACACTGACCTTAACAGATATTGGCAAGGCCATGCAAATGTTTCAAGATTTATGAAAATTGCTCAGTCCCCAGCTAGATTTCCTTGACTGCTAAATGAATGATCTCGCAACCTCATGTTTCATTTCTAATGGGTTATAGCCTATTTAAAATGATAGATTCTAATAGGGCCCATTTGCAAACTGGTGTATACAAAGCACAATCAGCTAAAACGAAGATGTGCAACACAAACCTCCTACCTCTGCTTCCTCCTGTTACTTTAGGGGTCAGAGCAGCCTAGTAACTTATCTTTGAGAAGCTACTTAAGTTACAGCAGTCTGTTCCTAGTCACTTTTGGGCACCAACACTGCCCAGAATCCCCACAAAGCTAGGAGATATCTCCACCCACAACAGACCCTTCCTGCCAGTCATGCTCTTTACCATGGAGTTTCAGGGGATCATCTCCATTCCTGCACCAGAAGACTTCCTCTTCAGCCAGGCCTATTGCTTTTAGAATTAATTTACTCTGTGCACTTGCCTCACCTTCCCCCATCCACCCAGTGGCAGCACACAACGGACAAAATGAAGATCAGAATCGCACCCCTGGATCATTTCACATTCTGTTCAGTACATGGAAATTTACTTTTCAAACATAAAATTTAAAAAAAACCACTACAGATGTAATGTAGTTGTACTGACAGATTGTTTTTACTATACAAGAGGCAATATATGAAGGATATATAATCAGTGCACAGCTAGTGTAAAGAAATATGTATTTTCTGTGCACAGTGTACTAACTAGTTTTCATTTTATTAAAATCTTGTACTTTTTTTTATAGATTTCATGAGCTGAAAGGTGATGCGAGGCAATATCTTTCATTGGACCAGCTCCTATCTACATAGGAAGATCTGTCAGTAGATTGCAGGTACGTCTCAGAACAGAAGTAGTTGGTCCAATAAACGATATTGCCTCACACACACCTCATCTCTCAAATATCCTGGGACTGACACCACTACAACATGCTACATGTAAATTTAACAGAGTTCTCTCAACACTCTAACATAATAAAAGATTCCTGAGCTCACCTATATAGTATTTGCTATATCTATTCTCCCATTCACCAGATGGAGATAATCACTATCGGATATCACTAGTAACTGAATAGTCATGTAACTATACAAAATATTGATTGCACGACTATTCAATATTTGTATCAGACACAGCAGCACAGTGTGTCAGCAGCTCCTGTCCGTGGGGGGTCCAAGCTGCATGGGTGGGGGAGGAGGCAGTCCATGTTCAGAGACTGCTCTGTGGCAGCCACCCCTGCCCCTCTCCCTCCACACTGCTGCCTCTCTATCACTTATATAAATCTGGTCTTTTCATGCAAATTGCATCAGAAGCTTGTATTAGGATTATTGTTGGGTATTTGTTTTTATTAACTATCACTTTAAAAAAAAATCAACATAATCCAAAGCCAAACTAAACCTGGATTTCATGTAATTACCTTTCTTAAGATTTCTGGAATTATGTTCTGGCATGTTGCAATTCTCCTTCTGTAAATAATCCCTGTGGATAAATCTGATCATAAAAATATAAGTAAATAAGACATACTAAAGAACTAGCATGGCAAATGTTGCCTTTTGTTAATAAAAATGAAGTATCTAGAGAAGTTAGCAAAAGAATGAAACTGCAGGCAGGAAGGCTGGCATACTAGCAATGCATTACACTGTCTTTTTATTTGTTAATATTATTTAAAGCCATCACAATATTCCTGCTCCTTTGTCAGACTAAGTGGTAAACAAGAAAGATGCTAACAATCTGGGCTCAGTCTACTGAGGAGGGTATCCATGGCCATTGCTACACTCTAGCACCCCCTACCAGTCAGAGAACATATGGTATTTTACAAACATTAAATTGGCATTTATACTAATACTTGTAACCCTTGCATGCATGGCCAAACTCAAGCCTGCATGTAAGCAGGCATGACAGTATTGAAGTCAGAGCTGGATTTCGAACATAGTAAAGTAGTTCATTTTCAGTGTTGCTATTTTGTTGACTATCTGCGAGTGAGCAGAGTACAAGTATCTTAGGCTATGTCTACACAGCAGCGTTACTTTGGAATAACTGACATCTACACGCAAGCAGTTATTTCAACATAATGTCAAAATAACGCTGAGCTGGAAGACTGCTTACTTTGACTCCCGTAACCCTAACTGTTCGAGGAGTAACGGAAGTTGGAGGAAGAGAGCGCTCTCGAAATAATTGCTGTGTAGACCACACCAAAAGTCAAAATAAGCTATTTCGACTTAATCTACGCAATTAGCATAGCTCAAGTTGCATAGCTTATATTGAGTTTAGCCCTGCCCTTAGTCTATATGAAGCGTTTAGCAGTCAGTCCATGCCCAGACCAAAACTTCACTTTCCTATTTGCTCCATTCATTCATTCAGTATTCTCAAGTACATGCCACAGGCACACAGAATACTCTCCTCCCTCATTGCATTTGAAGTCTACAGCAAGCTGTTGCACAACTACTCATTTTTATATTGAATTGGACCTAGTGATAAGGACAAAGCTATCCATTTAAAAAAAAATCAAATTATAGTTATTTAGCATCACCAAAAACGTGACTGGCTTTCAGGATCTCTTTGCATTTTAATATTTAATGAACCACATCCTCAGTATGCTACAAAAGGAGAAGCCAACTGGCAGATGGCCCAGTTAAAGAGAGCTCTCAGTGACAAAAGAATGTTTTCTCAAAAAAAATATCTGGTACAATTGGTGTCTTGTGAAAGGGCTTTGATGGTACATTGGGTAAATATTAAATATGAAGTGCTTACATGGTACATAAACCAGTATTCCCCAAGAAAAAGACTGCTTAGTGCCTAAGGTATAATTTTGCCCTCAGATACACTTTGGCTGGTATCAGTGTCAGGGTTCTGTTCTTTCTATGCAAGGGGATACCATATTCATACTGACAAAGCAGAATACTGGAATTAAGACCCACTATGTACATCTTAGGTACGGACATGGATATTTTACAGATTGGCAATTCAGGCACAGAGAGACTAAGCAATTTGCCCATAAGAGACGTGTGGCTAAGCAGGAAATGGATTTCACATCTCAGGTACCAGACTCACTACTGGTCCACCAGTGTGAGGCTGGAGTTGAACTCTATGGGATTTCCATTTGACTGAGAATGGCATAAAAAAAAAGTGAATACACTTCCTTTGGATTTCTTCCCTGGCAAATCATCACCAACTTTCCCTGTAAGCTGAGCACTTGGCCACCCAGGAGAGATTCAAATGGGGCCCAGCTGATCAGCAGAGTGCACATGGCTGGTAACACAAGTGTGTACTGGTGATGCACATTCACATATGCCTTGGTGCACAAAAAAATTATTCCACACATTGCTGGAAAATAGAGAGAATATTGGTCACCACACTGATCTGGGAGACAAAGGTCTCTACCAACATTAGACAGAACACTTGGATGAGTGGGCCATAAGAAAGTACAGAAGTTCGTCTCACCCCTGCGCCCCCCCCCCCCCAAAAAATAGAATTTGAACATTTTTAAGAGCAGAAACATAGATGGCTGCCACTTGGAAGTAACCCTTCCTCCCCCTCCTCTTCCTCCCCCCGCTTTGAAGTACCCCCTGTATCTGATAGAGGCAGCAAGGGGGAAGGGAAAAAAAATCAACTAGTTGACTGACTATCGGATAAGCAGAAAAGCTGTTTTTTGCATGGATACTTATTCCCCCGTTATTTAAAATAAAGTTTCCCAAGTGTACGTACATTACATACCAGCCAATGTGCTTAACTAGCAATTTTCCAGATTGCCTCTCAGTAAATCTTTTTTACATTACAAACCTTTAAAAACCCCACTATCTACCCATTAATAGTAGCAAAGGCATCTGTCTTACCAATATTCTGCTACTGAGCAAGCATCCCTTTTCTAGGCAGTGTCATAAATGTTTGGTAACTGTACAGAATTTAGATTTTTCCCACTATTTTAGACGTTTTAGTGGTTAAAACAACTGTGGTAGAATCTGGATTCAATTTCTCATTATCAGTGCTGTTTTTTAGGAGATTGGGCAGTTTCACTGAACTTGTGTTATTCTGGTTCCCTATCTATAAAATGGAATAACCATACTTCCCTTTCATACATAGAGCGTGAAAATGAAGTAAGCAAATGCTTGTTGATTTGGGTCACTTAAAGCTGATTTGAAGAAATTCACTGGTCCTGAGAGGAGCAGACAGGAGTCATTACAGAAATGGAATGGACCTATATACTGAAAGCAAATAGCAGAAGGAGAATAGACAAGTCATGCTTCTAACATGCCGCGTTAGCCTCTGTCCCAAAGAGTTTAGCTATGTTTTGTTCTGTGTTTATACAGCCTTCAGGACAGTGGGATCCTGGATCTATATCCACAGTATTACTGAAACACAATATTCATGTTGTCATTATTAGGTTGGATTTAAGTAGCACTGTATTTTAACAGAACAGTTTGTAGCTTACCTGTTTTCTCCTCCATGGTTTTTATAGCCGTGACATGTTTCTCCATGGGACTGGGATACTAGGTAAAAATATGCAGTGTAAATATCACTATAGTTGTCACTTAGGTAAGAGAAAATTATAATACTTGTGAAAACACTAAGCATTTTCATGGTCTCAATGGATAAAGAAAGAGCAAAAGTGTGTCAAGAGCATGCAGGGTCCATTTAGATTAGCTCAATGTTTGCTGAGGGGAGGAATTTAAAATATTTTTAAATGTACATTTATTTTGGTGTAGAGGTTCAGGATGTAAAGGACAGGACAGTTGACTAGTTGCTCTCCCCACTTGCTGCCTCTCAGACAGAGACAGCGGGGGGGGGGGGAGAAGTGGGGAGTACTTAAAAGCGGTAGCGCTGCACGAAGCCCAGGGTCAGCTGGGGAGTCCTGGGCTCCATGTGGCATGCCAGCTTTGAAATTTAGAAGAGTCCCCAGAGGAGGCTTATGTGCATTTCAAAGAGGAAGTGCCTGTGTGGAGCCCAGAGTCAACAGGACTTCCCGTTGGCCCTGGGCTCCACGCGGAGTTCCAACTCTGAAATGCTCAAGAGCCCCCAGTGGTGCTCTTGTACATTTCAACGGCTGAACACAGAAGTGCTTATCAACTAGTCGAGTAGTCGATGGAAATTCTATTGACTACCCAACTAGTAAATTAATTGCTAGTTAACATCCCTAGTAGAGGTTTGCTTTGCCTTCCAAAAAAGAAAACCCACAAGAACAAAAAAGCACACACACACACACACACACACACACACACACACACACACACACTCACTCACTCACTCACTCACTCACTCCACCCCCTTCACTCTCACTATGGAACACTTCTATTAAAAACAGAGATTTTAAAGCCTGAGCCAACAGAGAATACCCTGAAAGCAGAAACAGTAAGATTGACTAGTATCACATGGTTCTTAGCTAGGGACTGCGGAAATGCCACGCTGAACCCAGGCTCTGCACGGCACTGCTGCTTTGAAATGCCAATCCGGTGTTTCAAAGGAGCAACGCCGTACAGCTGATGCGGGAATCAGCTGTGCAGCACTGCAGCTTTGAAGTACCCCCTCTATCTCATAGAAGCAGTGGGGGGAGAGGGGAAGGGGAAAAAGGAGGGAGGAAATCCAACTAGTTGACTGACTATCTGATAAGCATTTGCTTATCAGATAGTCAACTAGTCTTTAACATCCTTAGCAGGAGCCAGTACCGTCTCCATGGGGGCAGGGGAGGCAGAGCCAATAGCAGTCCCAGAGCCGACTCGCACTGGCCCCGGGAGCTAACCCCACTGTGGCTCTGCACTTTAAATGTAGTAAGAGCCTGGCAACTCTTACGATATTTAAAATGCAGAGCCACAGTGGCAAACGCCCCCCCTCCCCCCCATTGACTAGTCGGAATTTCCATCGATTAGCTACTGAACTGTTATTTAACATCCTTAGTTCTAGTTGACCATAGCTTGCAGAGTGCTATAACTTCAAGTCAAATGCATCCCTTAGGATCCACATCAGTGATAATTTGGACCTTATATTTCCTGCAGTACCTACAGATGTTGCTGCGCATGTTTACAATACAGTGCAAAACCCAAGATTATACAGCAAGGTGCAGGAAACCTGGTTTCCAATGGCATCTGGAACACAAAATAGGAAGGGTTTTACTGTCCTGCAACATCTTCAAGAGGTCTTCTTCTAAAGAGAAAGATGTCACTTCATATTGTAATGTACTGGTGGGAGTGGACTTCCTCTGCCCTGGTGGTGACTTGGAGAGGCTAGAACTACCACTACTGCCTAAGGCAGCTAAGGAAAATCTCCTTTAGTTAAAGTAGCAAAGGCATTTCAGAGTTAAAGAAATGAGATTCTAACTCTGACTCGCCAAGAGTATGTGCAAGAATTATGCAGAAATTGTGTCAAATGTCTGAAATACATGAACTCTGTATGACATACTAGTACCTAATAAGGAATGTTTTATGTCAAGAAACAGAGGTGAGGGATGAGTAAGCCATTTTTGACTCCCTCTTCGCAGAGTGCTTAAGAAGGTGAAAAGAACTATATTACCTATTGCTAAAAGCAAGCAACATTCACAAGAATTGATGTTGAAATCCAAAACAAAGATAAATCACTGCAATGCAACACAGCTCAAAAGTAACTGAGCTAGTTCAAATTCCATATTAGTATTGAGAAGATATTGAACATCAGATAAAGGTTAGCATTAAACAAAATATGAAGAGTGAGAGGAGGGGGAAGTTATATTTTACGATTAATGGAAGTCAGGTAATGCAGTGATTACCATTAACAGGTGGTACTTTAAATTAGGATGTTGTAACCAGGAATTCTGGAGGGAAAAAAGTGTAAAAAACATTCCAGAAGAGGATAACTGGCTCTAGCCTACAGTACCCACTACATTTATTTTTGCTGCTGGGAATAAAAGTAAGAGCTGAAAAAGGAAGTGCAAGTCTGTAGATTCCTATTTTGTAGTTACATCAGAGGGTTCTTTGGAACATGCTGCTTTGAAATGGAACAAGTAGTTGTATAATTACATTATCAACGTAACTTACAGAGTGTAAGGCCCAATTGTGTGAAACAAAAAGCCATTTACATAAATCTTTCACTAAATAGCAGACTATTACCCAAGTATTTAAAACAGAAACAGACTCAATTTCCTACACAGCAGACTATAAGAAATAGTGTTAAAAGCCTATAAGCAGATGGAATGGTTCAGTGAGCATAGCAATCACAACAAAATAGACTTCTAAGCCAACCACATTCTTCCTCCAAGGCTTTTATTTCCTCAGGATCTACAAGTTCAAGAGCAGTAGAGAACAAAAACCATCAATTTGAGTACTTCCTCAGCCCAGTAAATGGCTTGGTGGGGCAGCTACCTAGCCCCAAGGTACTGGTCCCCACCACAGCAGGTGTGGCGGTTCTAGCCCTCCTCAGAAACTAATTAACCTGAGCACTCCTGCCACTGAGCGTGAGTGCAATGGAAAGAAAACACTGTGCTGGAGTCAACTTTCCTGCACATCAGTGACCAAGTGGGGCCTGTGCATTGTCACTGCAACAGTTAAAAAAAAAACCCAACAGTATCTCCTGGTTGCAGGCTATTGCTAAATACCACAAAATAACAGACCGGCTACAGCTTGCTCTCTCTAGTGATAGTTTAGCTTCTAACCCACCAAACAAACCCAAATATTAAAAGGAATATTAAGGCTGCCAAAAAAGAAAGTCATAGTTGCTAAATTAAGAAGTGCCAGTATTAACATTATAGGTACAACCTTAATTGAACCCCCTTCTGCGTATCCATTATACCACTTTTAGGCACATTATTATTTCTTTCCTCCTAAGTCCTGACCCCTAGCTCTTTCCCCCTTCCCTTTTGTGCCTATACACCTCCTACCTCCTCTACTCCCATCCACCACCAGCTCCTAAGGTCACCAGATTACCTTAAAAAAATTACCGGACACAGGGACACCGGACAGGAGGGGAGCAGGGAAGGAACTGGCCGGCAGGGAGGAAGAGCTGGCCGGGAGGGGGTCAGAAGGAGCAGGGCTGGCCGGGGGGGAGGAGGGGGCAGAAAATCAGGGGGAAACTGGCCAGCGGGGCTGACCCGGGCTCATGCAGAGTCCGGGGTGCTGCCCGTCCTGCGCACGGTCCCAGCGAGGCGCACGGGCAAGTCCAAGCTCAGGGATTCCATCCCACCCCGGCTCTGCCCCCCTCCTCTCTACTGCATAGCTGCATACTGCCTGGCTGGTCGACATGCTCACGCAGTACCCAACTACATACTGATACTCATGATAACAATAAAACTTAATTAGAAAATACCACACGTTTATATGTCTGGTATTTTCTCAATTTGTTTCCTGGACAGAAAGCTCAAATACCAGGCTGTCTGGTCAAAACCAGACACCTAGCAACCCTACCAGCTCCTTTCCTGCTTCCCTTCCTCCAAACCCCACTCCTCTCCTTCCCTGCCATCCTTGCATTTCTCAGTCCTCTACATTCTACTACGTCTGCTTCCTCCTCACTGCTTGGACCTAGCAGGCAAGGCATTGAGCACACTGCAGAAAGTCTCTTCACTTCCATTTTCCATGCCTGGTACCCCAATGACCTGCAGCAGCCAAGAGTAATTCTATAGAAAGTTCGGCACCCTCTCTGCATCTCCCATGTGGAGCATGCTCAGTACAGACAACCAGGGGTTGATGAACAAATCTAAACAGTTGGATTTGGAGAACATTTAGTAGTGGTGAGGAAAGGGCAACAGATGAGAAGTGGCACTGCATATGGACCATTGAATGACTTGACTTGTAGCGCCTGGTTTTTCTTGTGGTAGCATATGCAGCACAGCAACTTCAATTGCAAGTTTGATTTCAACACAAATTTTTTACTTATAAAGCATGACTGTTTCCTTTATCTCTACCAACCCCATGAAGTGATTTGATGCCATCTTGTGGTCAATTCTAGGAAGACACTAAAACAGCCCACTCCACAGTACTTTTATTGAGGCCTGAATGGGAGTGTGCAGAAGACACAGAAGTGAATTTCGGGCAACAAAAACATTGGCAGAGGCAGGATGATTGGTATGTATCACTACTCAGTTTCATGACAGCATGAGGTGAGGAAGAAATGTAGCAAGGCTGCTGCTGTTTCACCCCACCATTTATAGTAGTTCTCAATACATGAAGCTGATGATTTTTAAATGATCTAATTAAATCTTAGCAAAGAGAGAGATAGTAAATGGATGATAGTAAGAGATAGTAAATGGATGCAGCAATATCAAGTGACTGGAGCAAGACCTAGAGGGAAGAGACCCCTGTTCTATTTTAGTAACACTTATCAATTATTTCTTTTCCATGCAGGAACAATTCATTAAGGTGGCAGATTAAAAAAGATGAGACTTCAAATCAAAGGGAGTTTAAAGTAAAGTAGTTTCACAATTGCCCTCGTGTTCCCCTATCAATTTGAAAGGTTTCACAGACAAGTTTTCCTGTTTTAAAATACTGCCTAAATCTCTATTGCTATGTGAAAGACCCAAAGAAATAAGGAG